CTTATGAACTTAGCAGGGATTTTGTCCGTTCATACATGGTACTATTGCATACATGGTAGCGTTGGTGGCTCCTCTCTACTTTTAAAGATAGGGTTCACATTTCTTAGCCCAAGGGACAAAGCCCTTCATGATCTGGCCATGACTCTCCAGCTTCCCCTTTCATTACACCCCTTTGCTTCATCCACGTCAACCCATCCTCGGTTTGGACTCCGCCAGAATGACTGCTACTTGTCTTTTAATGTTCGGGTCAAGCATAACCTCTTCTTGGCTCTCGGATGGGTTTTTCTGAACTCTTCCAGACTGGGTCAAGCACTCCTTGGCACACCTATAAATTCCTTGCTTACCTTTCCTTAGAGCATGTCCTGCTTTGTTTAATCATGACCTTTCTTATCTCACTCAGCACATTATGAGCTTCCTGAGAATAATCGTGTTTCTTCATCTCAGTGTTTTTGGCATGCATTAAAGTGCCCAGAACATGGTAATAACTAAACTAGCGTTTAAATGAAATGTGTAGCATTTCTTGGTAATTAAAATTACTGAATAAGAAGGGCAAGGTAAGAGACTGTCTCAAAGCTCCACTCCTAAAGAAATCAGAATTTTAACACTCCCCAGTGACCCGTGGAAGGCAAGAATACACACCCCTGCCTGTGATTGTGGAATGTTGGAAATCCGACTGCCTGTGACTCAGGTGTTCCTAGGAATAATACAAAACCTTGAGGGAAAAAAAGGGCAAGCAGACGCTGAGGAAGGGCTTGAAAGAAAAATTATCATTAAACAAACACTGAGGGAGTGCTGTCTTCAATACGAAATAATGCCCTAAGAATGCATCAAGATTCAGAACAAATAAATCTAGATAAAGAGGAGATTGTATCAAAAGTAACCTGTTTTGTTAAGCTGAAAAGTTAGGAAGGATGATTCATAGCTCTCCCAGGTTACAAAGTACAGTAGGTGAATTCATGGCATAGTGGGGAAGAATCAATAGCTGCTTATAATGGTGTGCTTTTAGCTCAAAGGAAAGAAATATATTTCATTCAGTACAAAAACATGCATGCCACATAGCTGTTTGGTCGATAGGATCAAAGAAAGTGTCAATACGCATAATTCTTTCCAAGTTGCCAGTAGTATGGATCAGTGACAATTGGCAGCCTGAAGCTGTATTAAATGGCACTGTTGTGTTGGTTTTCCCCAAAATGTGGTACGAACTTGTGGATACGCTGGGTTGCACAAGGACGACTGCAACCAGCGTGGTATAGTGTTGTTCCCAGCTCAGCCCCACCCTGCTCCAAGAGGATTAATGATGGAAAAAACCCCAAGGGCACAGAACTAAACAACAATAATGTTTCTATGATACTTTCTATGGTAAGTAAGCATTAAAAAGAGACCCTATTCAGGACTATAGGCCCTAACACAATGAGCTTGGAATCAAGACGGCATCGCAAGTTCTCATCACTACCTTTCTGCAGTGGACAGGCAAGCAGCTTTGCTGCCAGAGTCTTGTTTGGTGTAGGGGTTCTCAATGGACCTGTTTTCAAAGTGAGCGAGCATGTTGTCCTTTCCTCTGCAGAGACCTCGCTCGGCAAGGGTCAGGCTCAGGGAAAGGCACTTGCTTCTGAGGAGACCCATGCGGGGGGCAGAATAGGGCAGTCAGTGTTTTGAAGACCCCTGGAATCAGCTTGTTTCTTCAAACTAGTCTCAAGAGTCATTCTCTGTCCAGCCTCTTGTATTCCCTTATCCAATGTCATCTGAGTATTTTCCACCCCAGACCGCCTCAGTATACTGATGGGTCAGTTGGTGGCAAAGAGATCCCAAGATGATCATTGTATCTTAGAGCGATTCTGGGCTTTGCTGCCAGACTCCTACTAATTTACACCATGGTTATGAAGTTCTTATGCTTTTCTAGGGTGGTGTTGGGCACTAAATAGTGCAGGAGAATCCAGCAGGTAGTAGGGAGGACACTCTCTAGTTCTGGTCTTGCTTCTCTGGAAATGCTGTTGATGGGCAAATTCACGGTGATTCCCACACTCCCTCTCTAATCTTCGAAGTGTGCAAACATCAAGGAAGCTCATTCCTCAGATCTGCTCATTATCCCGTACACGTGGTGGTTTAACCACCCAAAAAACTGGTTTTATAACTACTGTATGACAGGTCAAGTTACGCAGCCCCTCTCTCTGTCTTTTTTCCCCATCTAAAATATGGGGGGCATAATTATAATACCTCATAGGGTTATTGAGAGGGTTAAATGAGTTAATACACTTAAGCGTTAGGCACTATCATTTTAAGCCCCTTCGGCATGCACACGTTCTCAGATCTTTAACCTTGCAGTTGCAAAGCACAGACCATACCTGCAGGAGACGTGACTGTCTAGCCACCTTCTCATTTTTAAAGAGGAGAAAACTAAAGTCCAGAGGGAAGATGGGTCTTTTCTCCAAATTAAATGGCTATTAGGGATAGAGCATGGACTAGCATTTGGGCTCCCTGCCATCTGAGGCAACTTCTCTGTGGTCCATGGTTATGGGGCAATAAGAGGATCCGATTTCCCTAGGGCTAATAGCTATTTCCTAGATTAATTAGTCTTGCTCCCTTTGGCTTTCTGAATGGGCGTAAAGTAGAGGACCTTATAATTTAAGAATACAATGCCAAATTCTGAGTGTGTGAATTCAGAAGGAAATACAAGGATTTCAGAGGGCAAAACATTAGGTAGCCAATGGCCAGGGCTCTCTTACTTTGAGGGCCACTTTGCCTTGGTTGTAACCGATGGCTAGAGAGTGACCAGGGGAGGCTGTCTAGGAAGAGCAGGAAGTATCCGCCAGCTTGGGCTAAAAAATAATGAAAAGACCTGCAGTTCATATCCATATTTGGTTTGGCAGCACAGTGATAAAATTGGCTTCACCAGCCAGGCAGTAAATTCAATACCTTTATTTTACAACCACATCCCACATGTTATCTGCACAGAGTCCCTGTCCTCCCTCCCCCAAGGTCATGACTATCCTCACCAACCAGACAAAGTAAGCATGATGGCCTCTCCCCATTCCCTCTACCTCCTTCTCCCGTTTGTGGCTCCTTTTGTGGCTCCTCCATATAAAGATTGGGATGGGGCACAGTGTGAACTGCCATGACAGGCAGGCAAGAATTAGAAATCACTCTTTAGAATAATACCAGCCCACCAGCCCAAGTAGTAGGTGAAATAAGGTTTCTTGCTTTTTTTTTTGTGGGCAGCTGTCAACCTTACTGGGAAGGGGGTTTCCTAGAGCCAGGGACTCAGAGGCAACCCCAGGGCAGGAGAATAGTTCCTCTCCAAAGCTGCAGAGCTCATGATTTCTTTATTTTTATTGCATCCGGATAGTCCCTTCTTGCCCCTGGTGGCTGAGGATATCTCTTGTTTTTATCTCTTGGGTTCTCAGAAACTGGCAGTTAACAGATTTTGTCAGTTAGTTTATTTAATTTATTGTTTATGCCTCACCAATCCCCAGCAGGTTGAGAAGTAAGTGGTGTTTTCTTCTAGAATTGGACCTGCTGACCTTTTGAAATAGCCCAGGACCACCTGGAAGATGTAGCTGGGCGTGCTATTCCTTTGAGGTCGGACAACTTCCAGTCCACCTGTCTCTCCCTTTTCTTCAAAGTAGGACGTTGGCAACCAAAGATGAGGCTTGGTATGAAAATGAGCAGCCTGAGAAAGCGTAATAGGATGTAAGTCAATTAAAGAATTGGGTTTTTTCCCTTTGGTTTTTTAGGTAGAGGGGAATCTACCTATGATAAAAGGTTAAAAGTACTAAGATGAATGGACGCACGGGCAAGTCCAAAGCCAAGATGCTATTTTTGCTCTAGGTAAATCCACTGAAAAAAATTAATTGAAACTACTGCTTTCATTATTCTTTCTATGCCCGATTCTCCACTGTTTTCTGATGGGGGGGCCTTAGGGTTTATTCCAGGAGAATTAAGTCATTGGGCTAGATGGTTGCAGAAACTAATGACGTGGTACTTGGAGCCTTTACAGAAAAGGAAATCAAAGTGCTGCCTGCGGTTGACACATGCCAAGGCGCTTGAATGCAAGGCAAAGGTGACAAATTAAGGACTGAGATTGCAGTGAGGGGGAAGTACACTACTATTTCAGTAATTAAAGAGGGTGGCCCTGAATTCTCGGAGCAAGAGGGCTGCAGCTTTGAGGTTGCCTGCCACAAACCCTAGAAAACCCAACCATCAAGGATGTTTTGCCTGCTGGCTCTGCCCTGAGGGGTAGAGCTGGCTTACTAGGTTCAATATCTCAGTAACCCAAATTTCAGGGTCCTGTTTGTTGAAATGCATCAGCCAGCTTTCTGACCCTGCTCTGGTTCCTGATTTCCTTGAATTAGGTGGCCCCAAAAAGCCCCACAGATTGAACTGTCTGATCGAAAGAGAAACTTAGCAGCAGGAAACTAAAAAACATAAAAGTTAGCAGTTTCTAAGAGCAGGTTTTCTTGGTCTCAAGTTTATGTTTCCACATAGCACCATTAACTGTGCTATTATTAACCCTCTCCATTAACCCTTTCCATTGAGGCAATCTAAATGGGCTTTGCAACTTTTACTCTGCAAGATTTGCCTGCTTACAAGGAAATGTTGCTTCTTTTATTGCTGTTGCTTTGAAATACAGTTGCTTTTTGTTTTCCTCCTGCCATGGCAACCGGAATAAATAAAGAGAAGCATGGTTTTCGAATGGTCTGCAGCTCTAGATGCATTGTTGCTTTCAAGACCAGTCAATAAGCACTTCCCTGCCCAGTTACTTGCAAGATGATGTAGCTGTGGGTAATAAAGAAGGGGGAGAGGAAAGGGGAGTACTAGAAGCACTGTCACCAAGTCTAGGCTTCATGTCAATGTACTCTTAGACCAGTTTGTAACACTGAGTGGCAGTGTTTTGTTCACAAAAGGATGGAGTGTGTACATTATACTATTTCTTTATCTTAGAAAATTGGGTTAAATTGGGTTTTTGTTTGTTTGTTTGTTTGTTTGTTTGTTTGTTTGTTTGTTTGTTTTTACCATCACTTTGCATGGTGTCAGGCAGACTCATTCCTGTGGAATGCAGTTAGATGGTCCTAATGCTCTCATTCCAGCCATGGACATGTGTTTTTATTTACAATGTGCTTTGATGAACCATGTGGATGCTTCATTCTATGGAAGACATAATTTGCAACAGAAGACTTGGAATAGCAGCATCTTGCCTGCAAACTTATTTAAGGGAAAAAAAGACCTTCTGATTAATTCCCAAATCATAAACTGTCCTTCAGATAGGAACCATTTTAAGTAGTTAACCGAATGGGATTCTTAAGGGATTCTTAATCGTAGGTCCATAACAGCCTCACCTGGATGGAACATTAGCCCCTTCTGTTCACCCCATCATGCCCAGAGATTCTCAGGATGTTTTGGGTGGGGCCTTGGGTGGGTTGGTGTATGTTTGTATGCATACATTTTAAAATATAAACATACATATTTATATTTATTTTAGATATGTATATATCTCATCTTAAACAACACAGGTAAGTTTGAAGCTCAGTTGTTGTTGAGAACCACGGAGTCAAAAAATGTGATCTTTTAAAAGCAATTTGCTTTAATGATAAATAAGAGATACATCTAAGAATAGGAAGAGGAGATGTTCACAGAAATAAAGACGGTTAAGTAAAGCCTATGTTCATGAAAGGGCTTGCTTCGTGGTTATAAACAACTGTTCTCTTATCTTACATTTGACTTTACGTAAAGGTAAGTGCTATAAAGCTCCATAAACACTCTATCATGTTTCTGGAAGCAGAGGCATGGGAGTAAGTCACCTCCAGGTGTTAAGAAAAAAAAAAAGAAAGACTGCCATGTCACTGGTGTAAATCTGGCCTCACAGACGGAAGTGACATGCATCAGTTAAGTCCACAAATAAGGAGTTTTTAACTATCAGGACAGTGGCTGACTGGGTTCCTGGTAAACACAGCTGCAGCTGGAGGTGGACCCAAGCTACACAAGAGTTGTTCAGCGTATACAGCAGGCACACAAGCTGATAATCATTCACTATGTGCCAGGCACTGTTCTAATGCTTTGCTTACACCACCTTATATTAATAACATCTCAACAACAAGGTGAGTATTATTATTCCTGTTTTATTCATGAGAATTTCAGGCACAGACACTTGCTCACATTTGCTCAGCAGTAGGCAAGGACTAGAACTCAGATCTGTGTGACTTCAAAGCCACACAGCAACCACTACAGCACATGGTCACACACCTGTGGAACAGGCCGAATTGGAAGAAGACAGACCACGGAGCTGACAGATATGTGACCACTTCAGAGAAACATGAAAAAGACTAACATGCAAGAATATGTTCAGAAGACATGTTATAGCAAAAGGCCAATGTTCTCGTTAACGTGGCAATAATGACTGAAGAGCTTTGTTAAAAATATATTAAGCATGCACGGTAGGTTAACCTCATAAATCTGGGTGGTTTTGTTTATCTCTCTATTTTTCCATTTATTTGCAATATTTCAATCACCCTTGGGCAATGGAACATGGAAGAACGTTGATAAGCTCTTTTGCATTATGAATTATTCAGATAGTTTTGCATAGACTGGAGGGCAGATAATTGCTGATATAACCTCAACAAAGAGATAAGGTAGAGGAAGGAATGTTTGCTAATTAACTACAAAGGAAAGAGAAATGTGAGAAATAATTAAATCATCTGGTTCTCTGTGCACTGTGGTTCCCAACTCCTCCAAAGCAGTGTCCCCAGTATGTCACTTCCAGCTTAATGACTGAGAGCAATTAGCCAACAATACACTCTAGGAGAAAAGAAATCATGTCAGTGTTGTATATGATGCCAGTTGTGGGTGTATGGTTTGCAAAAATTATATTAGTGCTTGTGAACTGGAGCTGCTGCACTTTAGGCACTCAAAATCATGAGTCCAGGTGTCTCAAGTGGCAGCTCAGCTTTTGGAGTGAACCTCAAAGGCAGCCTTGGCTAGGAGGACCTTCCAGATTCCAGCAACTTTTGTTCACAGCAGGGCATATCTTATTTACACTTGCTTCCAGAGTTCAATGTGACACAGAAGGTTATCCTTCGATTTTGACTATTGGTGAAATTTCATTTTCTAATCTTGCATTTCAGAACAGCCGACACGTCTCAGGTGACATTCACTGTGTTCACATTTTATAAGGAAGGAATGGCCATTTCTCTCATCGTGTATAGGGCTGTGGGCATTAATGTATATGTCTCGTTAGTGGGAGCTGTTGATTTTAGGGAAGCTAGTTATATAAGTAAGCTGTGCTAGAAAGAACTCAGCCAAGTTTTAATGAGACATCTCAAGTCTCCCTCTGCTAAGTTAAAAAATTGAGTCTGAGACTTTAATCTCCAGTAAAAGTGACAATAGAAAAAACAGTGTAAGAAATACTCCTTGCACGTGTTCGTAATACTAATTTTGAAAAAATTAAAGTCATATGTAAAATAACATTCCACTTTTGATTTTAAAAAGTTCATAGATGCAATTAAATAAGAGTAGAATATACAAACTACAAACCAGAATGCTCAAAGTTGTTAACTTTCTCTTGAAGATAATATTTTAGATTATTTTTACTTAATTTTATTATTTTACTTTTCTGCTTTTTCAGAACTCTCTGTATCAAGCCTATGTAGCTTGTTTAGCAGGAGAAAAAATACAATGAATGTTTAAGGATCGGGGGAAAAAGGAAATGAATATGTACCTATATGGTACAAACAGAGCATTTCTAGTGATGAAAATGTCTCGAGCTTTATTCCTCACTTTGCAAATGAAAACCACGGCACTGCCTGTGAGCATAGCCACTGTGGTGGGCAGGAGGAATGGTGTCAGTTCTCCACTTTCATAGTCAAACAGGTCTGGAAAAACTCACCTCCCCCCCCCCCAAGGAAAGCTTGGATTAGTGGAAGCTTCATTAGGAAAGAGGGCAAGGCTACAGGCAAGTCTAGAAAAAGTCTCCTATCAAATGTATTGTGACAGCAACATGAGTTCAGCACAAAGTGTCATACAGCCTGGTGCCTTACATAGAACAGGTGCTCAGTAGTGCTGGATGACAGCGATGTCCCAGCTCTTCCAGGACACCATAGAGCGGGCATTTATGGAATCATAGAAAGTCACTCAAAGAAGGGATTTTAGTAGTCACTTGGTTCAGCAGGCTCACTGGTTACCCATCAGAATTTCCTGGGGAGCCCTTCAAAATGCAGATTTCTGGGTTTTGCTCTCAGAAATTTGGGTTCAGTGTTTAAAGATCTGCAAGTAATTTACGTAGACTGGTTTGTTTGTAGGATCTACTTTAGAACAAACTCTTTCCTTTTACAAAGAATTGAGTCAATGGAATTGTTTCTTTTTTCCTTTTCACATTATGCTGACGTGCTTGTTGTCCCCTTTCAAGTGTGTCCCTACAGAAATTCCATGGTTATTCCATTGCCTTTGCTCAAAACACTGTTGTGACCCTTTTTTAAAACACTGCTTTCAGAACACATAGGATTCTTTCAACAGTCCTCAAAAATAGGCTGGCAGCCCCCTTTGGAGAGGAGGAAGGAGTGCTAAAATAACTTGGTTTATATTTTTAAAGTATTTGTTGACTGAGAAACCTTTTGTTATATTAATAGAATAACAAAAACTATTCTACTAAAAATGTTTTCAAAATCCTTTCAAATAAACTGAGAATAGCATATGCTTGTACATTAATGCAAAAAATTTTAACTGTATATTGACTATCTGATCATTACAAATTACATTGTCAGAATAATTATTCTCATTCAATCAGTTTCTTAGTCATTTTTTCCTTTAAAAATATTTTATTACTTATAACATGTAATATGTGTAATTGTGTACATAAGTAATGAAATAAACTTACAAAAATGTTATTTTTAGTGTCAGAATTTTATACAATACAAAAATAGTAATATGTTATGAATGTGATATCTTGATTGATCATAACATTTTTCTGGCTTACATTTCTACAAATTCATTTATTAGGTCATTACACCTTTAGCAACTTCACTTTTTATGCTTTAATATTTTTAATAGTTTTTTTTTTTTTTTAGAGGAGTTTGGATTCACAGCAAAATATAGTGGAAGGTACAGAGATTTTCCATATGTCCCCTGCCTCCACTCCCCCATTATCAACATGCCCCACCAGAATGGTGGATTTGTTGTAATTAATGAACCTACATTTATACATCATTATCGCCAAAGTCTATAGTTTACGTTAGGGTTAATTCTTGGTGTTGTACAGTCTATGGGTTTGGACAAATGTATGGTGACATATATCCACCATGACATCTATTAATATCTACTCATGCAAAGTAGCCTCGCTGTCCTAAAAATCCTCTGTGTTCCACCTATTCATTCTGAGCCATTTTTAACTCTAATACTGTGTTATTAGTATTTTTCTGAAGAACATATTTTACAGTAGAATTTAATTTTTTTTTGTTGTCACCCATTCTGATCCTCCTGCCTCAGCCTCCTGAGTAGCTGGCACTACAAGTGTGTGCTACCACACCTGGGTAATATTTTTTATAATTTTGTAGAGACAAGATCTCACTATGTTGCCCAGGCTGGTCTTGAACTCCTGGCCTCAAGTGATCATCCCTTCTTGGCCTCCCAAAGCACTGTGATTACAGGCATGAGCCACCATGCCTGACCTAATTTAATTTTTGTGTGTATGTGGGGTTTTTTTTCCATAAAATTCCCAAGACCTTCAAAGTTATTATTTATAGCTAATAAATTTGAAATTCTTAACATATTAACTGATGCTTTTTGTAGCAAAAAAATATTTTTTAGTTGAGAAAATATCCAGTTTTACAGATGCTGAGGTAACTAGCAAGATCAGGACGATTTATGGTAGATGGAGAATATTCTCAATTCTATTTTTTTGTATTGAAGAAAATTAAATATTTCAGACTAAATATTTCACAGATATTATTTTCAACTTTCATTCAGAGTAACTTTTTTTCAAATATTTTTAAAAACACAGTGAACAAAGTTTACCATAAAGATTGTCTCTATTTTTCTTTTTAATGTTTCACTAAATTTAAACATTGAAAAATGGTAGATTTTCTGAATTTTACTTCATTCCAGCACAGAACATCAATTTATCTAATTAAAAACAGAAACCCCACCAAAATATTCTTCCTAGATGTTGAGATATTCTAAGCTCTACCAATTCTCCAAACCAAATTTCTTACACTGTTTGAGTGATCACTATTTTATTTGTTCAGATCCATCTTTGCTCTAATAAGAATATCTTTCAACATCTTCTTGTCTGCAGGCTTTGTTTCTATTAATGCCAGCTCTCCAGAAGCTTTAAAAACTGCACTTTGGGAGCTTTCCATTTGCTGTGTACTTTAATTAAAGATTTCCAACTGATTTTTAGTGAAATTCAGCCAAATTTAGAGCTCTTATTTCTAAATAAGTAAATAAATAAAAGTTCAATATATTGTAGGACACTTACATTGATTTCCATAATAATAATTCAAAGGCTTAAAAATTTCTAATATTGGGTTGATTATGGGCAGCAAAGAAATGAATCTCATGTCCTCATGCCAAGATTTTTAAGAAATTCAACATTAGCCTTGTTAAGAAAAATTGGTCATGTGTTTGTGTAAATTCTAACAAATATAGCTTTGATTTTTATCGATAGACTATTGTAGCTTATTTGTACAGAATGATGGCTTATATCATGTTTTAACCAATTTTAGGTACAATTTTGCTCCATAGGCTCATTTCAATCAGTAAGAACATTTACTATGATGCTGTGCTTTGCCTTAATTTTTATTTATATTATCCATGGAAAAGCAAATAAGTGTATCATCATTGTTAAATGATTTAATTGAAACTTATAATAGCATTCAAAATAGGGTTAAGTGTTTTACTTTAGACAGGATGAACTTCCAAAGCTTTTGGATCCATGAGTTGGATTAAAGCAGTCCAATGTTGAAAAATAACTGATTATCTATTTTACATATCAAGTGACTGTGGTATATAAAACTAGCATCATTTAACTGTTTGCAAATTTCTACTAATAAAGCCAATTTGTTAATAACTATCACTTCCCTCTCCCCTCCTTTCGTTGGCTCTTTCAGACATTTATTTCTTTTTATTTATGGTTTGTGTTCAATACTAATCAATTATGTAACATGAGAAGTTACGATGAATGGAAGTACAAATATGTAGACACGATATACAAGTAGATGTACAGCATTCAGGTATGAAGCAAAAGGGAATGTTCATTCACACGCACAGAGCTTTAGGAGTTGGATCTGGTCGTTTCATGGTCGGTTTCTAAAGATGGAAAAAAGTGACTGGTTATCAGGACAACTGTGGCCATATCGGACACTGGAGAAGCTCCAGTGTGCGCCCATGCACACAAAGGACTTCAAAGTGTTGGCTTTTAAAAAGGTTTCTGCGTGACAAGGCAGTTGGAAAATATTTACTTTCCAGAAACAAGCCCACTTTAGGCTTAAAACCAGGTTCTAACCATCTAAAAATAATGACGTAGAAAGTGGTCCTCTGATGTATAATGTTTTTACAAAAAAAAAGGATTTACGGAAGGAGTATAAAACTTTTTGTAAATTTAATGCACATTGGATTCTAGTTTTCACTTCCCAAATACTTGATTTACAGTTTTGGCTCCTTTACATCTTTGCTTTTTTGATTTCAAGAGTTGTCAATTTTACCTTCCAAATAGATAATTTTGTTAAATTGTAAAGTGTTCAACATAAGCAGAAATAAAAAGGAGCATCTTGAAATTAGTTAAAGTCAATGCAATTCTACTCTTTGAAATCATTTTAGCTAAATGAATCTGGTGCTCCTGTTGAATGGGAATAGGGGATGGGAAATGCCTGTCATTTGGCTTTTGAAGAATATAAACAAGAGTTACTCATGATGCTTGATTTAGTATTGTATTTTTACATTTGTTTCGAACTCTTGACCTAGAGCGATCCTCCTGCCTCAGCCTCCCAGAGTGCTAGGATTACAGACGTGAGCCACCGTGCTCGGCCTGTATTTTCACATTTGTATACATTTCTTTTGACTATGAATAGTGTCATGTACTCTGTAAGTATGAGTGCATAGTTTTGATAAATTTTAACTGTTTTATACTAGATTTGTGTATATTCTATGGTAATAAATGATAAACTAGACTACCACCTATATATACATTATGCATTCATAACATATCTTTTTGTT